GCCCCCGAAAAACCCACAACAACCGTCAGATCCCAGCCGTGAAAGCCTCTGCGAATACATTGAACGCCTCTGTGGGGTTTAGTCTGCGTTTGCGCAGCAGTTTCCGGAATCTTCTAGAGCTTAAACATTGTTCGCTAGGACACATGGTCTGCCCATCCTGGCAAAGTGCCTCAGTTCCTTTTTGCCACCTCTGAGGTTTCTTCTCTCCAGCGAGCTCCATTTGCTAGCATGTTCAAAAAAGACTTCTGTGAGATTTTTCCTGTTCTACCTGTTCTACTTCCCTTGCCGCCACCACTTCCCTCCCTAGTCCCCCTTTTTATCCCTTTTCCTTGTTTTTGCTAGTTTGTGGCCTCCTCTGCATTGTTTAAATGGTGCACTTTGTACCCTAGTAAAATCCCCTTTACTGATGGCCACAGCGTTTGTCTCTTTTGCCTTGGCAAATCTCAGCAGCCCGCCTTTGCAAAAAAATTACTAAACAAGCTCTTAAACTGAGACCGCAGCTTTGTACCCTAGTAAAATCCCCTTTACTGACGGCCACGGAGTTTGTCACTTTTGCCTTGGCAAATCTCATCAGCCCGCCTTTGCAAAAAAATTTACTAAACAAGCTCTTAAACTGAGACAGCAGTGTCTATAATCTTATTTGTGGGCAAGCTCTCTTTGCCCTATTTCGGCTATGGAGCCCACACAGCTGCCTCCAGCTCAACTACCGCCTCTGGATGCTTCAGTGGCCTCCTCAGTTAAGTCTAAATCTAAAGTGAAACTGCGTTCCAAACCTAGGGCGGGTGGCTTCAGGAGACTTCAGTACCAGACCAGCAGTCGAAACCAAAGAAGCCTAAGAAGTCGTCATCTACTTTACAATTTTCTAAACATCAAAAGGATAAAGTGCCCTATTCAGGACCAACAGACCATTTGTGTTGACGTGGTCCCCATCAAGGGTGATGACTATCTTACCCCGCCTTCTGGACAACTGCCATCTCCCCACGGGCACAGTCCCCTTCGTGGGCTAATACCTCAGCTGAGGTTACTGTACTTCCTCAATATGACCACTCAAGCCCTTTGGGTTGCTCCATCTCTGTGTGCCAGTCGGATTCAGAGTCAAACTTGCCTGATCTGCATCTTCCACATAAGCAGACCAGGATGACACATCATACACCAGAGACTGGTCTTTCAGATGTTGAAGCCTCGTGTCCTCAGGAGCCCACAGGTTTGCTTGCATCCCATGATTCCCTTACACAGTACCATCATCCCAAGAGGTTTACTCTGTACAAGCCATCCACATATTATTGGATGTCACCACACTGGTACATTGCCAGTACCGTTATAAGCATCTGGATATGGATTTTTATATGGAACCAAAATGACCTTGGTACTGTACTCTTACTACTACTCCGACTCGGATTCTGAACATGTTCAGTATCATTCTTGGTACCAACAATCCTCTTCCACAGAAGACTCTCCACCTCCATCCCTGGTACCAAAGCACAAAAAACCATCTCGCAAGAGGAAACACATTCCTTCACAGCCTGTTACTCAGCCGCCGGTACCGAAGTGATCTAAGTCGTCTCCAAAGGTTCGGACCAACAAAACAAACACTGCCTCACATACTCGTGCATCTCCTCTGTCAGTCCAGGCTACTACCACCTATGCTGGCCCTCCACCTACCTCACTTCATATCGCTCATCCACATCTCTGTAAACATCCAAAGACTTGGCAATCTGTGCCTTATTCCTCCATTCTCAAAACAGACACCACCAAATCCAGATCTCTACAAGCTGCACCACTAGATGAGGAGACCTCTGTATCCCAACATTCTTCCTCACGATCCTCTGATGCTGATACTTCTGACTCTTCTGTACCCCCTGAGTCACCACCTACTTTCCCAACACCAGACTCTGATGTGGCAGATGCGAACCCTCCTTCTCCATCAGAGGACTTTGCATCTTATTCCCAACTGGTCCTTTGCATCTTATTCCCAACTGGTCCTTTGCATCTTATTCCCAACCATCCAGTCCGGGTAGGACAAGGTTTATGAAGATAACAATGAGGATCAAACACTCCCTCTCCAAATGGGGTTTATTCCTTAACTTTTTAAGCTAATTAAGCAGACCTGGTCTAAACCATCCTCTGTCCCACAGATTTCAAGTCAAAAATCTATCTAAAACTCATGGTGACAATACGGCTTTCCTTTCTAAACATCTACCACCTAATTCATTCACTCTCGATGCGACTCAGAATAGAGCCAAGAATTGCTCTAATGCAACACCAAACAATAAAGAGGGCAGGCAACTAGACATTACAGTGGTGCCTCGACCTACAAATGTCCCAACTTACGACCATTTCACATTGCAACCAGCTCCAACTGCAAAATTTTGCTTCGACTTGTGGCTGGAGCTTCCAGTTACGAACAGAAAAAGGCAGGAGAAAATGGTGAAATTCAAATTGCTAACCATTAGTAGATGAAGAGGCTGCTTCTTTGTAGCTCTTTCGCCTCAACAGTTAGAGTGAGTGCTATTGGAAGAGGCTTCGGACTGCCTGGTAAGGTAAGGTGCTGCTTTCTGCTTTTAAAAAACTTTTCTGGGTGTGTTTTGCAGCATGGTTTTGGCCTGGGGGGGTTATGTTTCTGTGCTGTGATGGGTCTTGGGGGGGGTTGCTTGCTTTTTGGTTTCCCCCATTTCTGTTGGGTCTTGCATGCTTTGTCTGCTTTCTGCTTTGCTTTTTTTGCATTTCTGATGGGTCTTGCATGCTTTGCTTGCTTTTCTTTTCTTTCCCCCTTCAGCTGGAATGGATTAATTGTATTTCCAATGGGTCTTGCAGTGATTTTAAATTTTTTTGTGATTTTTTTTCTTCAACCAGAATGAATTAATTGTATTTCAATGGG